GTTTGTTCTTGCATCATCTGTTGATGTGTTTGTTCTTGCATCATCTGTTGATGTGTTTGATCTTGCATCATTTGTTGATGTGTTTGATCTTGCATCATCTGCTGCTGCATTTGCTGTTGCATCTGCTGCTGCATCTGCTGCTGCATGTGCTGTTGCATCTGCTGCTGCATCTGCTGCTGGAACTGCTGCTGCAACTGCTCTTGCGTCTCTTCATCATATTGATCCTGGTACTGGTCTTCGTCTTGCATGTCCTGAGATTCTTGTTGCAACCGGTACTGCATCTGCATCTCTTGCTGGGTCATAAAGTTGTTGATTTGGTCCATTTGGTTCTGCTGCACTTCCTGCTGTTGTCGGTTCATCATTTCATGCATTTGTGCAAGCTGCTCTGGTGTAAGTTGGTTGATCTGCTCTGCGTCTTGTTGATGCTGACCTTCGTACTCTTCTCCCATCTGCATCTGCTGCAGCATCTGTTGCCACTGTAGTGCCGCATTGGCTGCATTGCTCTGCATATTGCTCTGCACATCAGCGGCATGCTCAGCTTGTGGCTGTGCGTCGGTCTGATACAGCTGTTGCAGCATCTCTGCAGTTATGGCTGTGCCCTCCATGGTGCTTTGGTTACCGCATGGCAAACAGCTAAAGCGCGCCCACGACGATGCCACTTTTGAGCACAACGCTCGTCTCCCGAAATTGCTCCACAGCACATGGTAAGCTCGATCTCTCGCTAGCTGCAGTCAAACCGTCTCCATCTTTTTGGTGCTCGAGGAGGATCCGAACAGCTGTGAAAGATACAAACCAGGTGGCCTAAAGGGCCGAAAGCTTTCAAAGCTCGGGGCTGGGACAGTGCAGATTATTTGACAAGTGCAGATTTGGAGCCAAGCTATTAGGTTGGAGGCCATCGCTACTAGGTCAGAGCACTGTCCCAGTCTCGAGCCACAAGCCACTTTCTTCTGCCTTAGGCAGCAGACGCGATGTCTTTCCGCAGCCCCCACGGCCTTCCAACAAAATAGCTTCCAACCTAGAAGCAATGGTCTCCAACCTAATAGCTTTCGATACCGTCCACCAGAAGGATGCATACTTGATTGTGCATGTTCTCATCTTGGTGGCTCTAGCTGCGCTTCCCACAAGAAAGGCTCCTATAAGAAATTTGGGTTCTTCTCGGCATTCTACACCCCAGCTTCTTAGCCACATCTGGTCGGGGGCCACGTCAGGTTTTAGCTGGTTTCCAGCTGAAGGCAAACGTAGCCGTCGCTCTCCTTTGGGAGCAAACCACTGAGTGGTTACCACTCGTTTGCATAATCTCAGTTGGGCCAGGGCATTCCACCATCGTTCCTGGAAGTGGACATGAACGTGAATGGAAAAACCATTTTACCATCGGAGTTCGCGCAGTTCGTTTCTGTCCTGGAAAAACCATGGCATGGATGTAAAAAGCCTGGAGCCGGCCAATCGAGGTTCGGATCCTTGGGCCTCACAAGCGCACAAGCGACCTCAGCGATGGCCTCCAACCTAAAAACGGACCTTTTATCTTTCACATGAAAGGTCCTCTTTCACATGTAAATTTACCTGATCTTCTTTCTCTCCGCTCCTTTTTCGGTCCTTCCCTGAAAGGTTGCAGAGGCTTTAACACTTTCCATCACTTTCCAATGATAAGAAGAAGGCTTTGGGCTTTGTTACTGCTCTAGGCTCACCCTGAAGGATCCTGCTACTGGTCTACTGGTCTACTAGTCACTTGTCCAAAAGCGTTTGGCTGGAGCGGGTTGTGGAAACAACAAACAGCAAACAGCTGAGCCTGAGAGAGCAGGTTGAGATAGCTAGGGCCGTGGAGAGCTCGTGATCTTTTTCGGATCGATTGGTCTGGTTTTTGACAGTAAGGACGCTACTAGTAACAAAGGGCATTGCTACTAGGAGCAGGGACGCTACTAGGGCCTAGGGGCTCCTGGCCTCACTACTAGGAGCAAGAAGCTACTAACCAGGAGCAAGGGTATCGCTCCTAATAGAGGCTCATGGCATCGCTACTAGGAGCAGGGACGCTACTAGGGGCAGAGACGCTACTAGGGGTAAGGGCATCGCTCCAAAGATTTCTGTGTTGTTGACGCGCATGACCCATGGCAAATCACAAGGATGCTGATTGCCACTTAATCATCAGAAGTGAAGTGGTGACATTGCATCACCTCAATGTTCTTCTAACCTCTTCTTCTATAATTGTATATACATGGATTCTTCCCTGCTTCGCCCTGCATTGCCTGCCTCCAGTAGGTTGGCAACAAGGACTTCTGAGACATCTCAAACTTGTTCTCCTTCGCAGCTCAGCGTCAGAAACACGCGACACATGTGTGCGCTCACATGTGAAAAGCACACCAGTGCAACTTGGCCTTGAAGAGATCCTGGGAACGAGCCGTGACACGGAAGCAACTCCGAAAGCACTCTTTGGATGAACCTCTGAGTCATCACAGTCTAGAGTGCTCAAGAGTGCCTATGTTGGGATCGGACGGCAGGCCGGATGGTATTTGGGGAGCTGTTGCGGTATGGAGTTGTTGAGGAATCAGCCACCTGACCAAGTGTCTACCCTTGCAAGTGCAATCAGGCTTAGAGTTCGGCGCTTCAAGAGGCTGCTAGTGGCTGCTACTCGTGAGTTCACGTGAGCCGCATCAACTGCAGCGATCTTTGACCTGTCTGCCACTACGGGGTCTGTTCTTATGAGTGCACAAGCCTTCTCACATACAGTCAAACCTCTCTCCTCAGCCAGGAGCCTCTGTGTTCTGGTCCAGAACGCTCCTTTTAAGAATGCACGCGCCTTGCGTGTCTTCTTGCGATTGGGCCTCCCCATTCTTGTTTCTAACCACGGTAGTTCAATCCTCTTCGCTGATGGCAGTTTACTCAGGTTTTGGCCAGCCGACCGGCTTGGGTATTGCCTGGCTAGCTGGCTTGGCATGGCCGTTGGTTGGCTTTACTGGCTTGGCTGGCTTTGAATAGCCCGCGCTTCGTTCGCAATGTCGAAAGCGTCTCACATGGCAGAAAAAGAGCTAGGAGCACTAGGAGCACTGCTACGAGCAGCGGTGGCCATGTACCTAGCAATGGGCCTCCACCCGTCAAGCACTGCGAGGATTAGGAGTCTGACGACCTCCGAGGTGTCCAGGATCGAAGCTGGCATCTCCCAGCGGGGCCTGGCTCTAAAACTGTGTTCGGTCTGGGATCCACCTGACCATGAAGTGCCTATAACTCACATTATGAAGAAATGCATGTTGTTCGGAACATTGCGAAACTCCCAAACACGGCAATGAGTAGCAGCTACTGAAGAAGGCATTGGAGAGATCTTAGGTCTGAAATGTGCACTTTCAACAAGGACTCTATGACTCTTTCTGCTGACTCTACGACCCTGCTTGCGGTTTTCTGGTCGATGGTGGATCGAGCAATTTCAGTGCCCCAAAACACACCGTCAGTCTCCATTACTCCTGGCTGGTGACAAGTGGTGACATGGGGCGTGTTGCTTCCTGTACTTGTCTCGCATGTATGTAGAAAATTCCTTGTGGACTGCTGGCAGGACCCACTACAGAATAAGAAACTCATTGCTTCAGCAGGCATTATTAACCCCTCATGAATTGCCAGTACGGCGTTGAAACATCTTTCGATGAGAGCCCCAGCATACAACCTGAAAGTAGATCCCTTTCCAACCAACAGAGTTCGCTTGTGTTTGGGAAAAAGCGACGACTTTCCGCAGGGAACAAGCACTCAAAAAAAGTGACGCCATTGTCTTTGGCCTGTAGTAGTTTTGTCGCATCCTTGCTCCGTTCGTAGCGGTGCCCTTGTTTCTAGTGACATCCCTCACCATTGTTTGTCGCGTTCCTCTAGAATCGGGCTCGTCAAGGGGATGGGTCTCGCGATGGTCGGCCTGAAGTTGCACGTCGCAGCCGCTTGCAGGCTTGGTGCAGATGAGGCCCGGATCAAATCCTTGCTGGCCTCGAAGTGTGAGCCATCAAGACCTAATAGCGTCCTTGCTCCTAGTAGCGATGCCCGTTGTTCCTAGTAGCTTCTTGTTACTAGTAGTAAGGCCAGGGGCTACTAGTAGCATCCTTGCTCCTATTAGACCTTTCTTCCTTTTCCTTTTTCTTTGTTTCTTATAGCGATGGCCTCCAACCTAATAGCGTCCCTTCCTGGCCTGGACTGATTTTGTTGCACTGTGAAAACCGTTGGATGACTGGATGATGATCTAGAGCGGCCAAAATGTCTATAGATGAAATCGGCCTTTTGCTTCTCTCGACTCAGCATCCGCTTCTCAAGCCTTCTTTGGATGCGCAGCTGTATGTGCATGAGAATAGGCCATGCCTCCGATGGTGCTGATGATTAAGCCTAACCATCCAACAGGGGTAAGACGCACTCCAAACATCAGAATGCCAATTACGGAGGAAAGAACGCCTTTCAGTGTTCCAGCTACTGCTGTGGCCACAGGGTCGTTCACTGCAGTGGACCAGAAAGTTGCATAATTCAGCAAGACGCCTACCATCACGTAAGGAATGAGGAATTGAAAGAAGTTGTACTTCTCTCCAGCTCTTTGCAGGAAAACCAGAACCTCCGAAAGCTCCAGGAGTGTCAATGGCACAAAAAGCACCGAGTTGTAGAAAGCAGTGTAGAACACCAAATCCATCGATGAGAGGGCCACTTGATCCTGCGCATGACGCGCTAGGACCAAGTACAAAGACTGACAGGCAGCGGCGATCAATGCCAAGCCATACCCAGCTAAATCAAAATCGAGGTCACCCAAGCCTGTGACGACTGTGCCCACAGACATGAGCACCACGCCCCAAAACTCTTTGGTTGTTGGGCGGCTTCCCCGGATGAGTCTATCTTGAATCATCGCATAAACTGGCTGCAATCGTTTCAATACATTGTAGACCGGCAAGCTGGTTCGCTTCATCGCCGAAAAGCTCAAATACATGTTCACAGCCTTGGTCACGGTAACTAAAAGCATATGCCTCAAAATGGGAATTGCCAGAGGCTGATATCGACGACCACGAGAGTCACGAGAGGTGCCAAGAGCCAGGACGGTCCCCCAACACTCAATCAGCAGCAAGAAACTGGAGCCTGGAAAGCGCCAAGCAGATGCCGCGTATTTGGTCAGGGAGGTCATAGCCAGAGAGCTGGCGACATATGCAGACGCCGAACTCAAACCCTCCAGACGCTCCATGGAAGGCGACCCATTCTCACTCAATCGTGTCAATTGGTTTCCCATTCTCACTTTGTCTCACTTTTCACGTCTGAGCCAAGAGCTCACACAGTTCTTCATAGGCTGGATCAATCTGGGCAACATTAGCCAACAACATTCCTTCATAGATCTTAGCCAACTTTCATCAAATGGGATGCACCACATTACTAGTTCTTCCCACGAGGCCAATGAAGCCGGCCTCTTATATGTTGCAATTAGGAAAAATGTTGCCGCCCTCCAGGCACTTGGTGGCACAGTCAGTCTTGTAGTATCAGCACTCCACTCATCAAGAGTCTCTCCAAACGGGTCTTCCCAATTTCGAAACGGGCCGACTACTGCCGACTAATCGTAGTAACAAGTGCCTTACTAGTAGTAACAAGAAGCTACTAGGAACAAGTGCATCGCTACTAGGAACAAGTGCCTTACTAGTAGTAACAATATTGCTATTATAAATGAATGGCGCACAAACTCCTTGAGACCCACGCCCGCAAAGATGTCAAGGACATCACAGTAGTCATAGTCCGCGATGCATCGTCTGAAAACCTCCAGCAGTTCCATTGGTGCAACGAGTGCAACATACAAATTGAAATAGGTTCCACCAAGCCAACCACAACGTTCTTGGCTAGTAATAAGAAGCTACTAGGGGCTCCTGGCATCGCTACTAGGAGCAAAGGGCATCACTACTAGGAGCTTTGTGGCACTGCCAGGGATCTCACCGAAACTTGGCAGATTCCTTAATCTTGTCCTGTGAAAATTTGGCGGCGAGGCTGTTGGATGCAACAGTTGCATGAAACGAAACAGCCTGGCTATTCGTTGTCTTCTTTTTGGCTCAGCACGGAAAATGGTTTCACCATGCTTCACAGAATGCTTCAGCTACATAGTGACACCTCAAAAAGCTACCACTCTTGAACGCCTCTAGACTCTAGACTCAAGCTGTCAGTCCTTTGCATCTTGTCGAAGTAGAAATGCCGATCGGGAGACATTCAAGGCTTGTTTGTACCCTTCGTCCCGGGCATTGTAGCCAGTCTCAGTCCGGCATTGCATGAGAAAGCCACAATTCAAATAGTTCATAGATCCCAAAACATATGGTGTTTTTGGACATTGTGGAGGCCATTAGCCATTCCTAGTAGGTTGGAGGCCATTCCTATTAGGTTGGAGTTGCTATTTGGACATTGTTCTAAACAGAACTTGGGCATCACATATACAAAGATCTGAGCTCCAAACAGCTTCGTCTTTGCGGCGCTTAGGGAGTCCAGCCTCAAATGGAAGGACTTAGGAAGCGCAAACATCTCCGCACTCCGTTTTTGAAACATGAGGCCCACAAGCAAATCGACACCGCGAATGCAGGTTCGAAGCACTTACATTCTCTCCCATTCCCACCTTGGGGTTCGGGAAGTGCTGGAGCTGGTTCACACTCCCCAGCCTGCGAAACGCTTGGGGCGCGAAACTTCATCACCCAGATGCGCCCAGTGTGGCCTACCACCACGGAAGTTGGGATCGTAAGTGATCGTCACATCCTGATGTCACATGGCCCTCAACCTAATGGCAATGGCCTCCACTCTAGTAGCGATGGCCTCCAACCTACTAGAAATGGG